TCTTAAAGTCTAAAATCAGAAAGTCACAAATACATTGGGTAATGGGACCACTGAATAAATTCTCCTATAGGAAAATTTTCAGCTAACCAACCAGAAAACAAACAACTATATTCAAATCCTTCAGGAATTTAATTCAGACTGCTTAATGATAGAGCCAAGGAAGCCAAAGAAAAGAGTGTATTTAGTTGTTACAGTAAGTGAATCGAATAAAAAATATTGAGTTCATTGAACAGCCCACTGAATAGACTTGAATAAACAGCTTGACCTTTGGAAGTCTGAGAGCTTCAATTTATCTGCTCTCTAAATACACTTACAATGAAAATGCCATTAGAAGTATGCTGTGAGGATTAATGTCAGTGAAGACTGTGAGATCCATGGATAAGAGATGAAAAGGAACTCTAAATACCATAACTATAAATTAATTAAAATTTAATGTTCCTTAAAAATTACATAGCTATCTGGGATAGATTCGTAGATGATATGCTAACATCATTTTTTATTTATTTTATGTTTTGAAGTTTTAAAAATAATAAATTCTAGAAAATACTTGAAAAATCCATGAATAAGATCTTCTGATATTTGTCTTTTGCTTTGGAAACAATCCCTATGACTCTGGGGTCTCAAAAATATTCTAGCTTGCTTAGACAAAATAATTGGTTTTTAATCCTAAAAATCTTTATTATTATTTTCATAGTAACAAACAGACAAGGGTGTTAACTGCACCAATTAGACTTTTAATGCACCCTGTCTCTGTCCCCAGATCTCCTCTTCAGCTGTATTTGCCCAGTGCTGGGCATTGATTGCTATTCAAGTAAATTGTCATTATGATGATTTGTTTTTATGGGTGCCAATTAATGTGAAAATGTGGAAAGAATAGAAAAATATAGGGTTCTAATACCACCTAATAAAAGTTGAGATTTTAGAAGTTCTGATACACACATATATACAAAAATTGATTATGTTCAGCTAGCCAGCATATAGTACATCATTAGTTTCTGATGTAGTGTTCAATGATTCATTAGTTGTGTATAACACCCAGTGCTCATCACATTACATGCCCTCCTTAATACCCATTAACCCCGGTTACCAAAAACTATAGACAGCAATTAATTTTGTCAAAAGGACAAAAGTTAAAAAGATAGTTTAAAAGATGGTTCTACCACAAAATTATTTTTAAAAGCTCCCACTTCTCCAGTATATCTGAGAAGTAGGGTTTAATTGTCAAATAGTCAGATATACATCTCTTCATGTATGCATGTGTGTGTGTGAGAGAGAGAGACAGACAGACAGAGAGGGAAAATGAATAATGGAGCACAAACAAAATGGTAATTATACCTTTAGATCAGTCTAAAGGTATAATTACATCTATTCTTTTTTTTAGATTTTTATTTATTTATTTATTAGAGAGAGAGAGAGAAACAGCACGAGAGGGGAGAGGGTCAGAGGGAGAAGCAGGCTCCCCGCTGAGCCGGGAGCCCAAGTTGGGACTCGATCCCAGGACTCTGGGATCATGACCTGAGCCGAAGGCAGTCGCTTAACCAACTGAGCCACCCAGGGGCCCTAGACTGACAGGATCTATTCTTGAGAATTACAAAATTTCGTGTCCAATAAAATTAGCTAGGGAAGAAGAGGACAACATTTCATATTTTTAGGTAAGACTTAGTATTAAATCTACCGTAACTGCTTTGGCTGCTGGGAACAAATCTAAATTATGGAAACAACAGCTTTCAGAATTGGGAACAGAGAATCCTAGAAGCTGGTTGAATCAAAAATGAGACACAGGTGACTTTATCTCTTGGAGACTTAGAAATAAATTAGTACAGCCCCTGGTTTCATTTCACAAATGAAACTGCCTTGAGCCCAGACAGGAAAAGGGTCTTTCAAAGGCTGCACATGAGGTGGAAGAAAACAGAGCATCCTGACTCCAGGACAGCACTCCTGGGCGTGTGAGTAGGGAAAAAGCCAGAGCACAGAGAAACATTTTACCTTCCTGTGTAATTTCACATATTCATATTCTTCCTATCATGATTCAGCTGTCTTCTCCTCCCTGCTTGAGGGTAAACCGAGGGCTCATTTGCTGAAACTCCTACAGTGTGATACTATTTCTACAGGTACTTGATAACATGTATTGAGCATCTGTAGTATTACCTTCACTTTAGAGACATTATCTAGTTAATACTGCAAGGTCTGTATTTGTATTTTACACCTAAGCCTTAGAAACATTATATAACTTGCCCAAATGAGAACTAGGATCTGACCCATTCATTCTGACTACAGAGTCCACACTTTTTCCTCCATACCGGTATACACTGCCTTCCACATTTCTCAGAAAATGCTCAGGAGCCCTTTGTAGATTGTGATGCCAGAAAAAGCTAGATTGGGGTTTAATGCCATGTTACTGCTTATGTAAGTCCTTTCTCCTAATACAATCTGAATCACTGAAAGACCATTACAAAATAAGAAATATTCAGATTAGCAGTCAAGGTGACCCATATTTGAAGGAAAATAGTGTAAAAAAAAATGTCACTACCAAGTTTATTGGCCAAAGCCAATCACCAATTTTGTCAATCTGAACGGATGGAAAACAAAATACTTTTTAAAAATATTTTTATTCCTTTTTTGTAAAAGAAAAATCTTTGTATTTTCTAGTTGTTATTTGTTGTATTTCTGATGGCTTAGAAATCATATTCTTCCTTAAACATTATTTGAAAAATATTTTCTAAGCCACAAAAGTACTTCTCTGGAAAAGTGAAATTGTAATGTAGAAAAAATGTTTTCTTAAGACAGCTTGAGGACATTTAGGTGCTTTAAAAAATTATGTCATTGTAAGCTCTTTTCTTAGAAAAACAAATTGTAGAGATCCAAAACATATTTCATATGCTTAAGTACAGAATTATTACTCCATTTCCAGCTTTGTTTTTACTGTCTAAATGACCTGCTGTTTTGGTGAAGGACTCATGGTTTTGCACTTTATTTTCTTAAAGATGATATAGCAAATATTACAAATGTTAGATAATCACTAGTGCTAACAGAAATTTCATCCACAAAGTTTTAGGTTAAATTCTATGGAGTAGGAAAAACAATCGTAAACTACATTTTGCTAATACTTTCATAAAAGTGTGAAATTATTTACCTTCCCTAGGTCCTATAGAAAACCCTTTAAAATGCCACAAAGATGTATAACAAGACATAATCTCGCAAATATGAACTGTCTATTTTCTTGAAATACAGTTTAAACTTGGTGACTAGGACAAGAAAATGTCACATTCCTTTCTCTTGCTAAGGAAATTGCATATTTCCTTTGCAAAAATAAAGAATATGCAGTTTTCATAAACATGTATGTGACAGTTTTAAAGTTGTTTTGTTTCAGGTTAAAGGTTTCTATAAATTTTCATGATTGTCCCAAGTTGAAAAAAGAAAAGAAGCAAAGAAGACAGAGCAAAACATTAACCTTAAGGGTATAAGCTTTGTTCTTCACCAATGTTAAAAACATTTCTCTTATATCAATATCTGTCTTCTCCAAATATTATCTTGACTTACATAACTTTAAAACCATCTTAGAATGAATATACTTCCAAATTTTTATGTATCCCTCCATGATCTGAAATATTCTAAAAAGAAAGTTAATCTTTGCTCTTTACCAGGATTTGTGAAGCAAACGGATATGTATTTTATTAAGTGGCAAATAAAGCAGTGAGCTGGGCAGTTCATTCCGATGGAGTGCACAGTGATTGGTTTGTGGATTAGCGGATACCATAAACCTTAGTTGAGGACATCAATTTCACTGGGAATTGAGTAATCGTGGAAGCAGAGGGCCTTGTTTAAGATACAGATCAATGAAGGAAACGTTTCATTGTAACACCACTGTCATAAAGGCTTTATGTCTACTTACCATTTAATCCTCACGTTGACCCTAGTAGGTAGAAACTGTTTTTGTCTTCCTTTTACATATGAAGATACTGAGGCCAAAGAATTCAAGGACTTTGCCAAAATTCATGTGGTCTGTAAGTGGCAGACTCATGCTTTTTGCTAGCCACTGTAGCTTTTAAATAGTGATTGTTAGTATCTTATTGACGAAGAAAAGATGGACAAGATGGGAAAGGTCACTAGGAGGTCTCTTCTGTCTGTAAATATTAGGCTCCTTATTATTTCAAAATTTAATCCAGAGTGCACAGATTTAAAAATTTTCTGTTGAACACAAGCTGATGGGTCACAAGATTTTATAGGGCTAGTCCAAATACTCTAAGGGAGACAAGAAAGTCCCTAGCTCCTGGTAGACTGGCTTTGTTGGCTGCTCCTATGGTTTTCCTGGTCTCTGTAGAGGTTCCAGATTGAAAAGCCAGTCAGCACTGTTGGGGAGCACAGAAAAGCAGACCCACTTGTGGGATGATGCTAGATGCTTTGCCCAGCCAGTAAGTATGTTGCAGGAATAGATGTAACCACACATATAGATATGTCTGGTTGTGGGGTTTTCTTATTTTATTTCACCCCTCATTATTAACAGTACAGTAAAAGTGTACTACCAGAGCTTGGCGAGTCTATTTAAACCCTAATTTTTCTTAACAGTAAAAAGAGCTTGCTCCTAAATTCAGAATATTCCAATAGGTTCCCTCTGTAAGAATTTTTGTTAATGAAAGAAATAACACATGTTACTTTTGCCATGACAAGAAAAACTGGAGTATATTTTGTTTATCACAATTAATGTTAAACACAAAATTTTTCCTATTCTATGTATATTTATTTTATATGTATATATTTATAAGAAAGATATAGTTGTATCTCCTACAAAACTTATCAAAATAGAATGGAAAATTTTCTAAGAGTTTCTATTTAATACATCATTAAAAATTAGTTTGATCTTTTGCACCATAATTTCCCTGCATTTCAAAAGTATATGTAGTGCTTTTATAAGTATATAAACTTTTTATTAACATTACTGACTAGAATAATTTTGTGATTTTAATCCCTTTAAATGATCAAAACTATTCTATAGAACTTACCTTTTGACCATTCACCCCTGGAATTCCAGGTACTCCAACAGAACCCTAAGAAGACACATGATTAATTTAAGCATAGAATCACAAAATATTTCAATTCTAAGTTTGTATTGTATTAATTATGTCAGCCATAACCTTACCTTGCTAAAACATGTGTGAAGGGCTAAGTTTTTCAGATCTTATCCATGGTATTCAGATATATAATAATGTAAGCAGATTCATCAAGCATTCTCAGAAACTACGGAGTTAAATTTAACCATGTTTCTAAATATCCACTTATCCCTAATATGATTTTAAAGAAATTCACCTCATAAATTGGGATCCACAGCTATCAGAAGGCCACATGGCTCTAAATTTTGGTGCTTTTAAGAAATAAACAGGCTTAGTTCCATCTGGAAAAGCCTAGCAGTAGCAGTAACTCTTGCATTTCAGGAGTTTAAATACCATAAAACAAAAGGTAATTAAAATAACAACCACTTGTTCCACAATTAGTCAAATAAGGCACTCAAATTTGTTGTATTTGAAGCATTTTCCCCTGGACTTTCAGGGAATACATTTAAGCCAGATGAGTGTGAATATGTCTTCCTAGACTAGAAAAGGTGTTACAAATGTTAAACACTGACTAGGAATAACACAACAGCACCTCAAATATTAAGTTAAGAGAGAGAGAGAGATTGTGTGTGTGTGTGTGTGTGTGTGTGTAGACATGTGTGCACATCTGCACTGGGGTGATTACGAACGGTTGGACGTAGGTGGGGTGAACTGAGAATAAGAAAGCTAATTATCACCTGAGAAAATCTATGACATTTACCTGGATATAGAACATTAACAAATGTTTTCGGATAGTGATGTCACTTCCCCTTTCAGGCTCTGGAGAAACCATTTTTAAATAAAATGTGTTTATTCTTTGTCTAGCCCTAGAAAACAGATTTTTCTAAGTTGATGTATGATATTAAATTTCTTTAATAATAGTGGGAAAAAGTTTTTTTAAAGAGTAAATATAAACCTAAAACTGCTCTAAAAGAGAAAGTTTATTAAAAATATAGTCACTAAAAAATCTATAGTCATTATATGCAAAACAAATTGAGATGGCTAGTTCCTTAGTGCTTCTGGTAATTATATTGAGTGGGTCATTAAAAGACTTCCTGAAGCCTCAGGCAGTAATTTGAGCCTGGTTGCATGTGGATTAGGGTAGCTTTACAATTTCACACCATGCTTAATAGAGACATTATTGCTAAGGACAAAGTGTTCTTATACACAAGTTGTCTCACAACTCATTGGCTTTGGACTTGGTTTGTAGGATTATGTTTCAACAGATGCCACATGCCCAGTGCTTGGGGGATAAAAAGTCTCTATCTTTGATGGATTCCAAAGATAAAGAATAATCACTTTTCCACCTGTTGTAATACAATTGTTTTCTTTAGTTTTCTGCAGGTTAAATATCGCTTTTTCCCTATTGTGCGGTGGGAATTATAACAGGGAATGGGGTCTTAGCAATATTTTGTTGGCAAAGGGCCACCTACCTACTATTGATATATTTACTACTGTTATTGATGTAATTTTAGAAGCGCTAGACCCTCTCCATCAGAATGTAATGGTGAATTCTGATGACTGGGAAATGACAATCAGGAAGTCACTTTTTAGATTACCTCAGCAAAGGAAAACACTAATGGACCAATGGAATAGTCACCAAACAACAAGTACATCTTTTGTTCTGGTCCGTTCTACGATCATTTGGTCATAATACTTGAGCAGGACCATGCGCTCAGTCTGCAATGTCATATGACCTTTCAAATTCTAAGTTTTGTCACAATGTTTTGCCAGTATTTTAATTAAAAATTCAATAACCTAAAGTTCGACAGACAGCTTGAAAAGAGTTTACTCTGGATTTATTGGATTTTCTATAATGGAGTTGATTAGAAATCTAATGGCTCACATTAAATGATTGTATTTTTAGAAAGGAGAATGCACAATCCAGATGCTTCAGTATGGCTTACAGTAGCTAATTCTATTCACCTCTCATGCTAGCCATTAGGCAATGCAAGTATAATTACTTCCCCAGTACCGTTTATACTCTACCTTTTGTCCTGGAGGCCCCAGAGGACCCTAAAAATAGAAAAATTATTCAATTAACATAATAATGTAACCATTTAAACTTAAACGGCCAATTAAAACTGTCCTAGTCTGCAAGGTTCTCTATGCTGTGCAGAAATATGCTGATGTTTTGTACGTCAAGGAAAACGGAAATTACTGGTTGGAAGTACACAATAGGTCTTTTCTTCTCTCTTGTTTTCTTTTGAAGAACATTAAGCATATGCAGTAAGATTCTGATTTTTCCTTTAAAAAAAGAATCTTTGCTGTTCCAGTGCATCTGTTTCTTCAAATACCTGTACATCTATCACCTCAATCTCATTTAGAAGGCTGAAGATGTTACTGCTAGAAGCAGTGAAAATGCAGTGCAGTTCCTCAGCAAGCGCACATTTTGTGACTTCTGCATCTGCAAAACTTCAGGAAGCAGATTTGCAAAGGGAATCATTGCATAGCATTACAAAGAAACATGTTTTGTCCTATTCTTCCTCTTATGAAATGTGGCACAAAAACTTGTTTACAAACTAGGGGATGCCAAGGTCAACTGTGGCACCTAGGGTGTACCAGAAAAGGAAACAAAAGATGCTGTCAGCTGTCGATGACCTATGATACTGGGTGCGTGGGGGAATAGAATATTTAGGAAGATGGATGGGAATATTTACATATAAAATGGAAATACGGCAGTTCTGAGCTTTAGCTGTTTTTCAACCACAAAGTCAGCATTGGGATTCTGTTGGCTTTATGTATAATTAGGCGAAGCTTTGGGATGGTGGAAAAGAGCACGAAGACATCCAGTTATAATTCTGACTATTTATGTCTATTTTTACATAAAATATTGAGCATTTTTCTTCTAATTCTTTTATAAATACTTTTAATTTTAGTATATTTTAACAAAGTTATACTTTATAAATGATAGTAAATGATAGTTTACTCTATCACTTCATGTTAACTACCTCTATATTCCATTACACCTAATGAACGGCTAGCCTATTTTCAATGTGTGACATTTCAGTTAATCAGCATCTTAATTCATACTCTGTACCATTAAAGAAAGCACTAGAGTGCACATTAGAGGGAGAATTAGTCATGCATAATTTTTTTATTAAAAATACACCATGTTTAGGAACATTCAGAGAATCTGTTCCTCATAAATTATTTTGTAATCCTCAGAGGAAGACTAAGAATTTCCTCATAAAATCAGCTTTAGGTTATTGAAAGCGCACTGTGCAATATCACCTTTCTATGTTCCTTGTTTATTTACTCAACCAACTAACTTCTTAATGTGCTGGTTATCTGGTATATCTGTGCGGTCAGACAGCCTCCCTCCCCATTTCACCCCTTCTATTTAAAATTCTCCCTGTTTTAGATTTTGCAGAGAAAATAGAGGCCATCAGGTGTAAATTCCCTCAACATTATGTCTCTCATCAATCCAAACCCACGTGGACCTCCTTCCTATGTCAGAGGGAGAAGAGGCACCCCTCCTCTGCGGGCAGATGCATCCAGTAGACTCTGGAATCCATCCTTGTCTCTGTCCTCGGGGATCTTTCTCCATCAATTATCCCTGCATCTGTATCAGAGCCTCCCGCTTTCCACTAGTTCCTTCCCCTTAGCACATAAACAGGTTTAATCATCTCTCACTTGGGTAAATTGTTTGGGAAGTGAATGCTAATGTTAAGTAAAGGCAGAATTTGGAAGTTGTAGCGATGGGGAGCTGAGAGTCGAAGAAGACTTGGGTTTTATCATGGTCTATGATTCCATTTGTCCCAGCGTCTCCAGGGCATTTCACTTCTTAAAATGTTGATGTTAGAAAGGAAATCATATAACAAAAAGTACATTAATTCAATGTTTAGACTGAGAATGGATATGTTCAATTCAAAAAGGTTTGTTTCCATTTAAACCTAACTTTGCCACTTGAAAAAAGATTGTGCAGTACAGTTGAGTTTTTCACTACATTGACGGATACCCCAGGAAGGGAATATTTCATAGAAAAATCAGAGCAAATTCGAAATCAAGTGTTTTAACTAGAGACTGATTTTTCTGTATTTTCTAATTTGGTCTCTGTTGCATGACCACATTAAAGATTTAGAAAGACTACCCAGAACTGTGAAATCTACAAAATTATATTGTCTATTTTAACACAATATTTCATGAAAATCAAAAGATAGCTATAGAGAAAATAAATACAAAATTTTTCTTCACAGTTAGGAAACTACTTCTATTTTTGCTAAACTCTAAAAATAAAAGCAGTTTTAAAGATGTAATATTAACTTTGAATTGTGAATATATGTCTTGTGGATTATTCATAACTAAGTTGCCAAGGATATAGTCTCAGCTACCAAAAATGTGCATATAGTCCTTTGATCTCACTGGCGGGAAAAATGGTAGCAAGCCAAGGATAGTGTCATCTGTTACTAGCAGGGGAGTGGGAATAGACCGAAGTTGGATATAAGGCACAGACATAAATCGAGTAAATATAGACACACACGCACACACACACACACACACGCACACACACAACCCAAATAGTTATTTTGCTGATCAAGATTTTGCTTATATGTGTTTTGAGTGTCCTTAGATTAATAAAACCATTATATACCTATGACACTGTGGTCATTAAATTTAAGTTTACAAATAAAAGCTTCACTGCTCAAAAATTGATTTTAAGGTCTCCTGGGTGGCTCAGTCGGTTAAGCATCCACCTTCAGCTCAGGTCATCACCCCAGGGTCCTGGGATCCAGCCCTGCGTTGGGCTTCCTGCTCAGCAGGGAGCCTAGTTCTCCCTCTGCAACTCCCCCTGCTTGTGTTCTCTCTTTCTCTCTAGCAAATATATAAATAAAATCTTTAAAAAAAATTGATTTTGAAGTTAAAGTATGTTGCTACTAGTTGGTTAAGATGTTTACATTTGACTAGTTTTGTGGCTTCTAGAACAAATATAAATTAATAAAGTAACGGGCAAATGCCATACAACCATTCACTAACCTATCTAATCCTCTTAAATTTATTTATATTTTCAGCCTGCTCAAAAGTCATTACGAATAATGACTCAGATGAACAATGTCATAAGTTCATTACTCACTAGTCAAATTATTCCTTTTATTATTCCTAAAATTAAAGCCAATTGTTCTAGTGTTTTAAGATTTCTAAAATAATTCCATTATTATTGTCTCCGTGAGTTAAGTTTCGATCAAATATTTTTCCAGACTAAAGAGTCAATTTTTCATTCCATTTTATTAATCAATAAATTATTCCTTTTTAGATATTTTCTTGGTAAGCACCGTTATGTTTGCATATACTTTATAGAGGCTCAATTTAAATGGGAACAATCTGGTCTCTTCATTTTTCAAAATAATTTCTGTGTATATGTCTCAAGATTAAAACCTGTGCACCATATATAATCTCCTCATATTAAACTGTATTTCTTTAAGTTTACCTCCAGAAGTGTAAACTATAATTTAAACCTTAAAAATATACTTATTTTGGTACAGGTTCTAGGTGATGTATTCAAAAGATAAAAACCAAATGAGCCATTGAAAAATTCCAAGTGCAGAGTAATAACATCACTCATCGCAGACAAATTTTAAAACCAAAGTTTTTGTGATCTTTTTGGAAGAGGCCATGGAGGGCTATGCAATGTTAAAACTTATAAACAGAAAGAAATTACACAGCGCCCTTGATTTTCTTTCCTGTTTACCTTCACCCCTGCTAGATTCCATTTTTAAAAACTGTAAAATATGTGGACTATAGTGAGCAAGTAAGTCAGAGAAATATGATCGTCCTACTTGGTGATTGCCTTCACCAAAAAGTGTGTGACTCATGGCTTGGGAGTGATCCTTTACCCCTTCCTGCTCAAGTCTATCAGATAATTACTCAAGAATCTCTCCAGCCTGCCCCCTTCATCACCTGCATCACTATGCCCTTGTTCAAACCCTCTTCCCTCCCAGCTAGCTGATGGGCGTCCACCTGAGGGCCGCTCTACCTTTAGTCTCCTTCCACCTCTCTGCACAGTGCTGCCTGAGTCAGCTTTCTAGAAGGCTAATGGGTTCATATCTTTCCTCTACTGAAAAATTCTTCAATGGCTTTCCATAGCTTTTGAGAAAAGCAGGAACTTTTGTAAGATTTGTAGTTCATCACAGGAGGCATGCTTTTGCGTCTCTGCACCACTGTACCTCCGGCTGGCTATTCCTGCAACTTCTCTTTGGTCCTCTCTCCTCTACCCATTCCATCACTTAGAGCTCAGTGCCCCCACCTGTGGGCCTGGTCCCCTTCTTTTGTTCTTCAAAGCGCCCCTATGACAGCACTTCTTTCATAAAATTTACCAACAGTACTGTAATAGTCTGGTTACTTCTTTCTTCATACCAAATGTCTTTTGTCATGCACAGTAGCGGGCATATGGTAATTGTCCAGTGACTCCTTTTGCATGCATTCATTAACTCATCCACTTAGTAGTTTTCTAGAACCCACTGAGTGTCAGGCAATGTTCTTGGTGCTGAGGAAACAGCAGTGAACAAAATAAGCAAAAATGCATGCCCTCCTAGACTTCATATTCTAACGAATGGAGAAAGACAGCAAACAAATAAATGAGTAGAATCAAAGTGTGTCAGGTGGTAAGTGCTAAAGCAAACGGGAATAAGGATTGGGAGAAGTAGATGTGGTAGTATTTTAAAGTGGGGGTGGTGGGGAGGTCAGTGAAGTCCTCAGTGATAAAGTGACTCTTGGACAGAGCCCGAAAGAGATCAGGCAGAGGCATGCACATAAAAGGAAGAAGAATGTTCCAGGCAAGGGAACAGCAAGTACAAAGGCCAAGAGGTGGGCACATGCTAATTGTGTTTAAGGAACACCAAAGAGGCTATAGGTAGGAAGTTGAAGGTGGGGATATGGACCAGGAAGGGAGACTGTATTTGTATGGACTTATAGATTTTTGTATGCACAATAGTGTTTACTTTGAGGATAATAAAAATTATAGGAATAAATACATATAAATAAATCAAGTTCTTGTACCGTAGACAACAGTGTCTCAA